GAATATGGACCATATCTAAAGAACCTTTAGGCCAATTTTTGTCAAATTTGGCACAGAGTGTCCTTGGCTTAAGGGCTCTCATTAATACCAAACATAGGGAAGTGCCCCTTAAACGAAGGGAGATAATTAGGAAAACAAGAGGCCTATGGGCCACAACGCTCAGCTTAATTACTTTGTCCCTCCTGTTCCTCACCAGATTCCCCCCTTGTCAAACTTATTGTGGCCAACCTTACCCTTTGGGGTCATGACATGATTTGAACAATTTAGAATCTACACTACCTCTAGAAGTTTCCACATACATTTCAGCTTTTCTGGCCCAGTGGTTCAGATTTTTAAAAAGTTCCATATATATTTCAATGTAAAACTTTGATTTCTTTTGTGGGCCCATCCTAAACCCAGGGGTCATGATTTGAACAATTCAGAATCTACACTACCCCCGGAAGCTTCCACATAAGTTTCAGCTTAACTGGTCTACTGGTTCTTGAGAATACTTAGTATGTTTTAATGACCCAAAACTATTTTTGTTTCTTCTTGATTTTCTACCCTTGTAATGGGGCTTGGTCTTTAATTTTAACAATTTAAATTCCCCTTCACCCAAGAATGCTTTGTACTAAGGTGTTTAAAATTCACCCAGTGGTTCTTGAGAAGAAGTTGAAAATGTGAAAAGTTTACAGACGGACGGACAAACGGACGGATGACGGACAACAGGTGATCAGCTTAGGTAAAAGTAGTGGTTGCTAAAACAAATCCTCTTCTTAAGAACCACTGGGCAGTTTATCACCAAGCTTTAATTATATGCTAACATGGATGAAAATATGATGTAGATTAAAAATTGTTCAAGGCATCACCCTGGGGCATTATTATATTGCCCTATATAATATCTGGAATTAAGATTTTTTTTCAATTGATGCATCATAGGACCTCATGTCAAGTTGACTCAAAAGTAGGACACGATGAACTTTTTTGAATTTTGCATGTATTCATCTTTCATTTGATTTTGATGCATATCTCGGACACTTTGAAGCCTCTAATCATCAAAACTTATCAGTCAATGCATCATGGGGCCTTAGAATGTGTCAAAGAAAAAGTAGAAAAGTAAGTCACCGTGACCTACTTTCCGAACTTTATGGCAAACCATTTTCAAAAAAAATTATTGACATTATTTTAGCTACTGAGAGGTGTAGACTCATAAAACCTTGTAAGTTGATGCATTTGAATTTTGCTAGTATTTAATTTCAAATCATTTTAGAGGCATATTTTGGACACTGTGAAACCTGGAATCATCAAACATTGTCAGTTGATGTATCTTGAGCCCTCGGAATGTATCAACTAAAAGGTAGATCACCGTGATCTACTTTTAGAATTTCATGACGATATTTAAATATTTCAGATAGTAATTGGCTTAAATTTATCTAACTTCGTCACGTGATGCATCTTGGGTCCTCAGGATGTGTCAAACAAAAGTAGGTCATTTGAATTTTTAAGGGAATATCTAAATATTTGAGAGAGTAAGAAGCTAATAATCATCAAATGTTCTCATTTGATGCATCTTGGGATCACGGACTATGTTAACCTAAAGGAACATGTATGTTAAAGTGACTTAATTTTGGAATTTCTCAGCTATATCTAAATATTTCTGATAATAAGAGGCTTAGAGTCATCAAACTTTGTCAGGTAAAGCATCTTGGGTCCTCGAAATGTGTGAACAAAAAATAGGATTTTTAAGGCAATATCTGAATATTTCAAATTATAAGAGGCTTACAATCATTGAATTCACAGAGTTTATCCAAAAAGTAGATCACATAGCTACGTTTGGGATTTCAAGGTTTAATCTAAATATATAAGATTCAGAAGAGCGATCCTAGGCCCTCGAGTCTCTTGTTTAATTGCCATTTCATCAATCCGTTACAGGGTTATTCTCAGATGACTGTTAAAACTCTCTTGTCTCTTGTGTAAATTTGTTGCTATAAATAGAAATGGAAATCCTCACTGATTTTGTGTATTTCACTTATAAATAGAACTGGAAGTCCTCGTTGTTTTTTTGTGCTTGTCACTTAATGGTAACTAGCACATGTACTTGTTAGTCACATTATGGATATTTTACTAGAAAAAGACTTTAATGGTAACCTAACAACAAAGCTTTATGATAAACGTGATGACTTCAAATTTTCAATCGTCAACTTACCTTACATATGTAGCAATATACCCTTATCACCTGCATATGGGATTTATGTCTCCCACTTGCTTCGATATGAAAGAATATGCTCTACGTATGAACAATTTCTAAAACGAGGCAAGCTATTGACAAACAAGTTGATGAAACAAGAATATCAACAGTCTCGTTTGAAGTCATCATTTCGCAAGTTTTATGGTCGATACAATGACCTTGTCAGCAAATACAACCTATCATTCAGTCAAATGCTGACTGACGTTTTTCATACTAATTGATAGGCCATTATTTACACACTCAATTGTCTACGGATATTTCCGTTTTTTTTTTTTTTTGTTTTGTTTTTTTTTTTTTTTTGATCAGCAGGGGATACTCACTCCTCCGTGGCTCCTGATCCCACCTCTGATGTTTTAGGAGGTCCGTGTTTGCTCTGCTCCCAATTTGTATTGTCTAAATGGACTTTGAGCTTGAATACTGTTCGTTATCTCCATATTTCATTTCGTTTTCACCATTCAGTTAGTCTGCAAATTTCCCATCCATGATATCTCAAATAGTGCGAATTTACACAATACAGCATCTATTTTTAGACAACTGTTGCTAAAAAAGAATTGTGAGCCTACCTTCATAAATATGTAAAATGTTGTCTAAACAACTGTTCCTGTTGTTGAAATATTGTAGATAGCAATATGTTTGTAAAACTTTTAATGAAGCTTCCAGTATGTGGAAAATTTTTATTTTACCTCATATACTAAGACTTATCAAAGTGTGTTATTTATGTGCTAAAAATAGAAATGGGAATCCCCTTGAAACATTTTGCATTTCAGTCATTGGTTTCTTGTACTTGTCAGTCACATTATATTTATAATAGAGAGTATTCAAATTCTCAATCCATAATGTCTAAAACAGTGCAAGAATCTCCATTTTCTAAATAACTCACTGCACCTATTTCTAGATGGCTATTGCTATAAAAAGAAAAGAGAGTCCGTCTTCAATATTGTGTCAATTATTAATTGTCCAAATGTACTTGTTCATGACATATTGTAGACAGCAGTATAATTTGTAAATACTTCTTCAATGAAGCTTACAACTGGTGGAAAATTGTCATTTTTTCCTCATATGCTGAGATGTTTCTATTCATGGGTGTTTGTGCTATAAATAGCTAGAAAAGGGAACCCCCTTCAGATAGTGTATATTTCTGTAAATGGTTTCTAGTACTTGTTAGTCACACTAGGTTTATAACAGTTAGTCTGCATTTTTTCCATCCAACATTACATGAAAAAGTGCAAGAATCTACATTTTCTCGATAATTCAAGGAATCTATTTTTAGACCATTGGTGCTATAAAAAGAAACAAGAGTCGATCCTCAATATTATATCAATTATTGTACAATCACATGTTCTTTTTGAAGGTATATTGTAGAAAGCTTAATATTTGTTAAGACTTTTTCTATGAAGCTTCCAATTTGCATAAAACTGTCATTTTTCCTAATATTCAGAGACATATCTATATTTAGGTGCTTGATACTATAAATAGAAATGGGAATCCCCCTCAACCATTGTCCACTCCAGCTAGTGGTGTCTAGCTACTGTCATTAACATCTTAATATTTACAATATACTTCCTAACTATACAGCATTGACATCTAAACCTTTGCCAAAATTTGTTTTTTTTTTTACATATTCTTAAAATATATCTATTTATAGATACTTGTTACAAAAAATAAGAGTAAAAGCCCACCGATATTTTTTCATGAGGTGATACTACTAATTCTCTAAACACACATAAGATTTGGAAATTTTCCAGGGGCAATTTTTCTTATTTAGCCTTAAAGATCTCAAAAAATGCTAAATTCCCCATTTTTCAAATTTTCAGAAACCATGTCAATTTGCATGACCTTTTTCTTAGATTGGGAATATTTCTAGAATAAATGATTATATGCTCTGTGTACCTTAAAAGTTCAAGTTATCATATGATCCAATGAATTTAGTTTGAGTGTAGTAGATACCGATAAATATTCGTTTACATTTCCTAAATTTTCATGTTTTCATTTGGTCAAAAATGGCCAAAAATGGCCAAAATCAATGGATCCGTCTGCATGGCAACCAAGTGCACGTGTGGAACTTCCGACACCATATTTGCTAGTTTTGTACCAAGACACATATGTGGTACAAATTTCATCAAAATCGGAAACATGTCGTATCCGATTTTTTGGTGCTTACAGAGAATGCGTGTTAATTAGTATGTCCGATACTATTACATCTCCTTTGCTATTCTCGGTGATTTATGCAGGAAAACGGTATCGTTTCTTGCCCTTTTCATTGTGTTGTATTGTCCTTTTCGTTATATCGGATTACCATACCTATCTGTGTCTCATATATCCCGACCTGTCTTTGTATACGCATCACCACCATAAGATCTCCATTGGAGGAAGAGCAGTAGACACAATGTGATTCCAGTTGTTCAGTTTTCTTAATCAGTGTAAACTTTGTTCTGTTATCTTTAGATAAGTTTGCTGATGTTATGATCCTTGTCTATATAAATAAGTATTGTTCACAGTGTGTACACCATAATTATAGAAGCGCCGTTGGAATCACTCCATTTATAATTAACTGTATCTGTAAGATTGTGTAATTTATCACCTGCTGTGTTAAGATATTGAAAACACCGTTACAGATCCAGATACGTTTTGATGACACACGGGAAATATGTGTTACACGACTCTCGCCTCTAACCTTGATTATTCTATGTAACAAGGGTGTAATCATCAGTTTCAGCAGACATTCATTTCTGATCTGTCTTTTCCCTGCCTCTATCATTTTGATTTCTGCCATTTACTTAGTAACATTCTTTCTGTTTATTTCTTTAGTCATGGAGAGCATTATGTGCTTTGTAAGTTTAGCATTATTCTTTTTCATGGAAACACGGGGTTTCCTAAGAAATAAGAGTAATTTGACGGGTCTGTTTGCTGACTGTTCAAGTCTGTGTTCAAGGGTCTCTAAGCTGGCAAAGTATCTATTCATTTTTCTGATCTGTTGTTGTAATCTTTGAATCATTAAAGTTTTATGTCTGAAATTAGCATCACATATCACTGTGTCAATGAGGTCCTTTAGTGTCTGAGCCTTTCTTGACATCTCCGATAGATGGCTTGAGATTTCGATTTGACATCTCTCTATATCAGTTTTGATTCCTATGAGCAGAACACAAGTGTTATAGATAGTCTCACTTCTGATATTGTTAATGATTTCTCTGTTTTGATGACATTTTGTTTCATATACTGTTGTTATGTCCAGCATTTGGTGATTTTTTTGTTGTGCACATTTTACACAGACTGGAAGTTCACATGAATGACAATACTTATCATAAATCATGTCTGGATGTATCTCACAGGTTTCATGCTTTGTTGGGTTTTCATATTTTTCGCGATAAATCACATCATGGTGTTTTGTATCTAGATCAATAACATGTCTCTCTTTACACTGTAGACACAGGTCATGTTCATACGTGTTACAGTAGTATTCCGTGTCCCTATGACATCGAGAACACTTTCGTTCTTTACCCTGGTTGTTGAGTCTCTGATTGCCCATAATGTTGAGCGTCGGTGGTTATGAATATAATATGCTGAGAATACCTATAATGAAAAGGCAATTTCTTATTTCCAAATTGTCAATTTTATGTCAGTTTAAGTTAATAGATATCATTACATTAAACACTACATCCATTTGCAACAAGAGAAGACGGTACGTAGAGTTTTTGAGCACAAAATACAAACGTCCATGAATTGCAGATGATAAAATACAAACAGAAATTCAAATCAGTTTTTATAAGGTTTTATTGAATTGTCCCCCCCCCCCAAAAAAAAAAATACCGAATTACGAAGTGTAAGCTCATTTACAGTTTAAATGCCACAAAGTGTGTATTATTCTAGTATGTCGATTATGGTTGGACATGCTACTCACCCCTAAAATTACTTTTTACTTCAGTAAAAATGCCACAAAGCTTTGTGTTAATTTGATAAGTTATATTATCTTAATTAAAATATGAAATTATCTCTATAACAAGATTATATATATATATTATGTGCTGAAAAAAAAAACGACGCAAAATAGAGAATGTAATAGTATGTCGAGTGACTCAAATTATTGATATTCAGTTTCTGTAAACATGATGAATAAACCACAACTACACGAAAGTTATAACTAGAGGAAACAAGACGTAGCCTTATTCTATAACTACTATAAATATACTAAAAGCTCAAAGGAAATCCAACTTACACCCATAAATCCCTTTCTTAGAAGGAAATTCTTCAAAATCATTATCCCTTTTAAATATTGTTCATATTCCCAACAATCAAACTGAATTTGAATTATAATACCTTTTAATAGATTCCAAAAATACATAAAAATCCTTGCAAACAAAGACACATAGCAGGTTCCAGTAAATGTTCTACCAAGCCTCTTTCTTTACTCCTCACTAAAGTACTAACAGTAGTGAAGGAGAAACTTCAAGAGTACAACAATGTATTCGAGAAGTGGTGGAAATCAGATGAGGATACTTAAAAACTCCAAGGAACTTTTAGAAAATTTGAAATCAAAGAATTTTACCAAAATCAATAACGTCAAAACGTACGACTTTTCAACGCTTTATACAACCATTCCCCATGATAAATTAAAATCTAGGCTTTTTGACATCTTAGACAAGCTGCTTTTTCAATAAAAATGGAACTCGTAAGTTTACGTATCTTGTCATTGGTCATTTACGAAATTCTTTTGTTAACGAGGTTCGCTCCTGAGCTTTTGAGCAGATTCATATCTTAACCTGTATTTCAAAAATTCTGCAAAAAGTTTTAATTCTTACAATAAATTTGGATTCTACAATGCCAATTAAACAATATTCAGCTAAAACTCCATGATTAAATTCCATACCACAGGCATTAAGCGAGGAACTATATTTTGTGGCGGAAGGTTTTTTCGAAGAAAATGATCATTATTTCTTTTTCGAAGTAGTTAAAGTATGTTAAGTTTGGATTCCTATTTTTCCATGCAGCCTGCACACAGAGTTATTTTGTGCAGTGAACTGTTTTATACTGATCCTAAATTATATATCAAATAAACTGTCATAGATTCTATCATCATATTTGATAAATATAGCAAATATATTGTGAAAAATCAAGAAAAAGTAGCCTTGATTTAAGCTTAAAATTGGCACTTTTTTTAGTAATATCTGAAAATTAACATCACAGACACCCACTTTTTATTTTCTTTTCTGAATATATAAGATACTTTTAACCATTCTTCTTAAATTCAGTAAAATGTCATTACTTTCAAATTATTTTTTTGCTTGTTAAATTTTTAATGCCAGAAAAATGAATTTTTTTTGAGTGCAAAAAGGTCAAGTAATTGAATATGCGGAGTAATTTGAAATTTTTTTCATTGTCACAAATTTTAATGTGTCTATTCAAGATGAAATAAGGCTGTGTTTGTTCCCATATTTTATTTGAATATAAAATATTGGAGGAAAAACCTTAAAAATTGATTTATGTGTAAGACGTATTTACAGTGCAAAAAGGTCAAACTTAATGCTCTGTAGCGCCAAAAGAAGCGCATTGACCCCCATTTTTTGTTTTGATTTTTAATTACGCTATGTGTATAAATTCTAAAAATATACTTGATAAAAAATTCTCATTACTTCTGAAGGCAGGATCCAACCTCCTTAAAAAAAAAAAAAAACATTTTGATTCTACACACAAGTACTCTGAAGTAGATATTAAAAAGATGTTTGAGTTTCTGATTGACTATATCTATGTAGTTTTGGGGGATCAAGTCTTCCAACAATCTGTCGGAATTTTCATGGGTACCATTTGCGCACCGTTATAAACAGACCTATTTTTATGTCTATATGAAGCAGAGTTTATTCACAAACTTATACATGATAAGAAGAAGACACTTTTGTGTGGCCTTCAACTCGACATTTAGATATATCAACGACGTATTGTCAATTAACAATAGTTACTTCCATTATTTGTCGAATCGATATATGCCAGTGAGCTTGAAATAAAAGATATCACAGAGTCTAACACATCTGTTTCATTTTTTAATATTTTACTAGAAAAAGACTTCAATGGTAACCTAACAACAAAGCTTTATGATAAACGTGATGACTACATCTTTTCCATCGTCAACTTTCCTTACTTATGCAGCAATATACCCTTATCCCCTGCATATGGGTTTTTGTCTCCCAATTGATTCGATACGCAAGACCATGCTCTACGCATGTACAATTTCTAAAACGAGGCAAGCTATTAACAAACAATTTTATGAAACAAGGGTATCAACAGTCTCGTTTGAAGTCATCATTTCGCAAGTTCTATGGTGGATACAACGACCTTGTCAGCAAATACAACCTAGCTACCATTAAGTCAAATGCTGACTGACGTTTTTCACACTGTTAGGCCATTATTTACACACTGAATTGTCTACGGATATTTCCGTTTTTCCCCGATCATGACAAGGAGCACACGGTGGGTGTGACCGATCTGAAGACGATGCTCACTCCTCCATGGTACCTGATCCCACCTCTGATGTTTTGGAGATCCGTGTTTGCTCTGCTCCCGATTTGTATTGTTTCAATGGACTTTGATCTTGAATACTGTTCACTATCTCCATATTTCATCGATAAAAGATAGGTAGGAACTGTTCCTTCGCCGAGGTCCCATGTCATTTCAGGCGTTGGCACGATAAAGATCCTTCACTGCTCAATGCCCCTAAGTGTTGACTAAAGTACTTAAATTGAAGCCCTTCAGCAGTATATGGTGACGTCTCTATGTGAGTGAAAAATAAATCTCGAATAGGACGCAAAACAACATACAATCAATCAATCAATCAACAGTACCTGTGATATTTTAATGTTATCTGAGCACAGACCATTCAGATTACGAACAATTTCTGCTAGGTACAAACTTATTTTATTATAAATTATTGGATTCTATAAACAAGAAATTAATTTAGAATTTTGTGGTTTGTGGTTTGAACTGATTTAGCAACTACAGAAAACAAAGAGCACTTAAATGCAGCAACAAATTAATAATTAATGTCTTGTTTTATTCTTATAATCTAATTAAAATCCCCATCAGATATACATGTAGTATAATGCTGAATCCGTATATTTGTAGATATTTATCTCATTAATTAATTACAATTAATTGGAAGTACTCTGTCTGTAATTGTTCTTGTTTCTAATAATATAATTACAATTAATAAAATCTAATTACAATATTCCTGTCTCTGTATGTATTTGTATAGACAGACTCTGTTGGTGTTGTATGATCCAACCCAGAGATTGTGGGTTTCGTCAACATAATACAAAAAATACGGTTTATTTTCCTACTTTCTTTCCACTTACAATGTATGTTATACCCATTTGTAAGAAGCTGGAGAGTGGTCGGGGGGTTAAGACCCCCCCCCCCGGAATTTGCAGTTATAATATGTATATACTGAAGCTAATAAAAATGACTTTGCCCCCCCCCCCCATAACGTGGACCCACCATAAATTAGGTTTTTTCACCTTTGACGTTTGAAAATGGACTTTACTTTTGTTTTTGCTTGACAAGAAATAATCTATGTTTGTGACGTTTAAGGAAGGAGTTTTTTTTAACCCTCCCCTCCGGAAAAAATTCCTGGATCCGCGCCTGTAAAACTTGGATCTTTTTTTCTCTAAAAATTTCAGCTCATCCATCCATAGTTTGTTAGATCCACACCTTATAAACAAAATATTCAATGCTTTTATGCTCTCATAATTTATTTTTCATGGAAACATGTAAAGGAAATAGTCATTACTGGTATTGTTATTGTTTGGAAGTGTTAATATAAAATCCGCAGATCAATGATCTTAAACAATTCTATTTCGAGTCATGTGACTGTTAACATGATTAGTGATTAAAATAACAGCATCAAAAAAATATTTTAATCTAATCTGAGAACAGAATCCTGCTCGCTTTCAAAATTTGGAGTATCAGCTGCATTTTGATTCGACACAGAAAGGAAAAAAAATAAAAACAACTAAGAAATGAGAAAACGAATAATTAAATATTTCATGAGTTAGGATATGGATTTTTTTTATATAATAAATGCTTAGATCCTATAAACAATAAATATAAGTTAAAGTTCGGTTGTTTAAATACATACAAAACTGAATAATCATCATTTGCCTTATAAAATATCTCTGAGAAATCATTCACCAGAAAATACGCAGTGTTGATTTACTAAGTAAGTCGCCTTTTCAGTCAAACACAAATTGATATATGACATGGCAATTACAGAAAACTAAGAAAACTTACCGCAACAAATTGCTTAGTTTTATTTAAGTAGTTTTTTTCTGTCTTGTATATCTTTTTTAACTAATTACAATTCCCTATCAGACACAATATAATAATGGGTCCGTATGCTTGTCTACATTTATCTGATAAATTACAATTATCTGTTAGATAGTACTTTGTTTGTATGTATGTATGTATGAGTACTTGTATCTAATAATCTTCTTAGTCGTTAGACAGTCCTGCCTCTTTATGTATCTGTATAGACACACCTTCTTGTTGTTGTATGACCCTACCCAGATACCTAGTAAGTCACCTTTTTCAATCAAATACAAATTGACATATGACATGGCAATTACAAAAACTAAGAATACTTACCGCAACAAATTGCTAAGTTTCATTTAACTAGTTTTTTTCTGTCTTGCATACCTTTTTTAACTAATAACAATTCCCTATCAGATACAGTATAATACTGTGTCCGTATGTGCACGTCTACATTTATCTAATTAATTACAATTATCTGTAAGATAGTACTTTGAATGTATGTATACTTGTATCTAATAATCTAATTAGTCGTAAGATAGCCCTGCCTCTCTATGTATCTGTATAGACACACCTTGTTGTTGCATTATCCAACCCAGAGAAGGTTGGTTTTATTATTAAAATGAATGCCACATGGCCAGTTTACTCCTTGTTGTCTCTTCAGTAACCACATAAGGAAGTTACCATCGTTGTCAAGCATCTGCACACCAATTACTTCACATACCAGGATGTGTGACAGCATGTCTGTACAAATTTCAAATGGTGATACTCGTGGTCCTTTTATAGTTCCCGTGTAGGTGAAGCAATGTCTTCCCCCCCCCCCCCGCTCCGTCACTACTACTCCACGGAAATAGTCACACACAATAACGTCTCCATTGAGGTTCTCTGTGATGTAGATAGGTTCTCTATACAGTCCCTGACCTGTGTTGTTGTCGTGCTGTATGGTCTGTATAATTTGTCCTGTGTTATTGTAACGCTGTATTTTACCTGTATCTTCATCCCGTCTATACATAGTACCGACTAGTAGATCTCCATTCGATGGGGAGCAGTAGACACACCACGGTACCCATTGTCCTGTGTTCTTTATGAGAACAGACTCTGATGCATTACCTTTAGATAGTTTATCACTGTCTATATAGGTAAGATCACCTGTAATGTTCACAGTGTGTGCTCCACAAAAATCATTTGTATGTGCATCTAAACAACAAAGTGTGTCCCCTGCTATGTTTGTCAGGATGAGTTTATCCTTACCGCTGATCCAGACATGGACGGATGTCACACAGGAAATATGCTTAACATTATCAACACCTGTCACTGTGACAGGTTTGCGTAACACGGGTTTAGACATTTTCAACAGACATTCATTTCTTACTTGTCTTTTTTCTGTCTGTTTGGATTTCGCTCAGTTCCTTAATCACATCCTCTTTGTTGATTTTCACAGTCTGGGAGAGCAGGACTTGCTTAGTGTCTTTTATTATCGGGACACGGGTTTTTCCTAAAAATAAGAGAAATTTTACTGGTTTGTTTGCTGACTATTCAGATCTGTGTTCATAGTTTTTTTTTGCTGGCAAGATATCTGTTCATTTTTCTCGTCTTCTTTTGTAATCTAGGAATAAAACTTTTGAGTCTTATTTTCTCATCATACATCACTGTGTCAATGTGATCCCTTCGTCCCTGGGCTATTGATGACATCTCCTGTTAACTGTTGGAGATTTCTATTTGACAAGATTTTATATCAGTTTTAATTCCTGCCAGAATAAAACAGCTGTTATAGAGAATCTCACTTCTAATCTTTTGAATGATTTCTTGTTATACCGGTAATGTCTAGCATGTTATGTTCACTGTGTTCTGTACATTGGACACATAGAGGAAGTTCACACGACTGACAGTACTTTTCATAAATAATGTATGGATGTCTCACACATGTCTCTCGTTTTGGAATGTATCCATATTTCTCACGGAAAATCACAACATAATGGTATTTGGTATCAAGATCAATAATATGTCTCTCTTTACACTGTAAACAAAGGCTATATTTACACGTGTTACAGTAGAATTCTGTGTCACCCTGACATTGAGAACAAAGTCGTATCCTACATTGGTTGCTGGATCCCAGATTGCCCATGATGTGGAGCGTCTGGGTCTTTATGAAAACAATAGAATGAAAAAAACTATAATAGATGATAAAAAGAGATTATAAATATTAACTTTTGAAGCTTCTTTAAAATAACATAACATACTCTTTGATATCAAACAAAAAAAATAATAAAGGAAAGGCTAAGAATTTCAGATAGTATAGTCTTTCAAAGAGCTAAGAGTACTATGAATGTTGCTCTAGGAGTAAATAAAACGACTTTGACGTATGTTAATGTGATGCATTTTCTATGGAGTCATGACCATTTTGAAATTGTAAAGTATTTTTGATGCACTTTCAATATCTGAAACTACACTAGTATTTGTGGGAAATTGGATAACAGAGAAATTTTTTTTTTTGAAAAACCAGCCTTCTTCACTCATTTGTGTATCATGCAGCTACTTTTTATCATTTTCTTGTTAAACAAGGATCTAGCGATAAGTTTCAAAAGTTTGACATTAATGTCATTTCTCTTAAATATCAAACTTTGTCAAACTCCAAGAGTATCCAGTGGCCTTGAATTGCAGGTTTTATAAAAGCAGTTTGTGTACTATAAATGTGAGTCAAAACTGTGATGTAATTTTGATGTACTCTCAATGCATGATAAATTTGAATACTTTTGAATTACAATTTCCCTAAGCGTTGATACGAATATGACCCAAAATAACCCAAAAAGGGTGTCACCAAGAAATCCAGAATTTTTGTTTCGATTAAGATGCTTTTTTATTTGTTATTCACTTGAAGTTTTAACACAGATAATTCTGTTATTCTATGAACAAGCAAAGGTGTGAGGTTGTCAATCAATTAATAATCTTTTTGGCAGATTGAATATGGATCAGCTGGGAGGAACAGAACAGGCTTCGGGGCCACCAACGTATAAAAATCTCAGCTCAAATCTCAGCCTCAAATCTTAGATTTCTGCCTCACCTGAGATTTTCCTAAAACACCGTGCCACCAACATTTCTGAGATTCGTCTCACGTAAGCTGAGATTTGAGAAAATTCTTAGACTTATTCTTGTTGTTATATGCGACATTTTTTCTTATAATGCACGAAGCTGTTGAATCAAAGATTGAATTTACCTTTCAGTTAGTTGTTTATGCAATATTTTGGTGTATGATCGTGAAAATACACATTCTACGAGGGGTGATCAAAAAGTTCGCGAACTATCTCTATATTTACAAAACTACAATTCAGATCAGAATGAAATTTGGCACACAAATAGTCATACACATATTCTATAAATATCATATGTTAAATAATGTTTTGCTCCGTGTTTGGGACGTCACAATGTGACAATGACGTCAATATGTAGGTCACTTGTGACAAAAAATGGTTGACTCAGTCGTACTCGAGCAACGAACGGCTTTAAAGTTTAACGTATATCTTGGAAATTACTTTCCAGTAGAATATGATAATTTGTACAAGGTTTATGAGGACAAAAGACTTACCAGAAGTTCAATCATTAATTGGATTGATTGTTGAAGTAAAGACAGGGAGACGGTTAAAAATGATGTTTGTTCTGTTGCCCAGCGAAAGCAAGCCGGGGAAAAGATGTGCCCTTAGTTAAGCAATTAGTTATAAAACATCGTCAAGTAACAATTAGAAAAATGGTTGTATATCTTAAAAATAATATAATTATTAAATCGCTAAAATATCGTTTACTTTAGACTTTAAACATATGAGATATGATAAAAAGAAGGCGCCCATTCTTTATCCACATTAAAATCGGAAAGGACTACTTTAAAAAATAATAAACACTGAAACTTCATTTTATTTCTTTTAAAGAAGTAATTCAATTAGTTCGCGAACTTTTTGATCACCCCTCGTACACTTCCTTCGTCTTTTATTTGCTGTTTTGAGTCACTCAACGAAAAGGATTCCATTACGATCTTTGAGACAATAAATATTCACCGAGCCCCCGTAAAATATAATCCCTACAGAAGAATAACACAAAACATATCCAAACTTGATAGTCTTGGTTCGTCTGTCTACATAAACACACAAAAATATACACCGAGGCGTCACTTCCGTCATTGTGACGTTACGTGTCGAAAGATTACAAAGAGTAGATAGGCGGATCAAGACCATAATATATACAGGCTGATTACACATTTTTTTCTTTTACTGTCAGATATATTTTTTACATTTTACTCTCCATAGCAAAAATGTTTTAAATATAGGGAGTTTTTGTCCCCATTTAGAATAATTTAAAAAAATCATTTTAAGCGATCAAAGAAAATAAATTTTACCGCCGAAGCGATGATTTTAATACTGCAAACTCGGCATTAACAGTAATAAAGAAACCACCGAGTATTTTTTTTCTAGCTGATTAAATGCTAATTTTCTCACATGATAATTTTCTTGAGTGTTCCGTAAAATTCGTGAATAAGTTGCGGCAGAAAAAATGTCAGTCAAGGGCGAGTAACATAATTACAATTCAATTCAATATACATGTATGCTTGGTTTTAAGTGAACCCAATTTATCAAGAAAATTTCGATACAAATTGTTTAATGTCAGGTTATTTCAGGTATACACACCCCTTCCCCCGAAAAAAACAAAAAAACCTGAATTGAACTACGGACATGTATGTAGGGACGAGGCTAAATAACACATCACATTTTCCATGATCCCCTGTGAGAAAATGTCACAGGAAAAATATTCTTCTTTTCAGGTATAAAATATATAATAATTATTAATTTCAGATACAATAACAACGAATATAGTGAGCAATATTCGTTGTTACACTGGAAACCTAAATCAATCTAACAATCACTTATCAAGTGACGATTAACTTATTAATTCCTATGAAAAGTTTCACGGCGTAATCATGTACTATTTGAAACTTAGGACCATACTTGTTTTTTTTAATCTCAAAATGTAACTGGTCGTATTAAAAAAAAGTCAGGCTTATTCTTACAAATAATATAAACGGTCAGGGATATTTGTGTGCATAGCGAGTATAAAGCAGATGCCCATACGCGGATCTAGAGGGAGGAGGTTGTCGCCCCCTCCCCCTGGAATTTGCAAAGTTATTAAAAGTATATACTGAATCAAATAAAAATTGATTTTGGACAACCACCCCCTCCTCCCCCCCCCCCCCCCCCTTGAAAACGTGGACCCCACCACTACCATAACGAAATAGGTTTTTCACGTTTGTGAAACGGATTTTTTTTTCTTTTCAGAAATTTTCGCGGTTTGATACTTTTGGGAAATCAGTTTTACTTGTCAAGAAATTTCTGGGTTGGATTTTTTTTTTTTTTGACTTGGATGACCCCCCCCCCCCCCCACACACACACACACACTGGAAAGAATTACTGGATCCCTACTCTCAATTAAGAATTTTATAGATTTAGTGAAGATCCAAATTAGACAGATTGCTATCATCAGTGATTAATAAATGGTGATTTATGAATAAATAGAATATTTTTACACAGAAATTTAGACAATGTTTTTTTTTTAATATTTGCGTATAATTTACAGATTAGGTACGTATATTGTACAAGTAAAAAATAACTACCGGAGAAAGAACAAAGAAGAGGCCGTGGAGATTAATATTATCTAATCATATTTTCTTTTCTGATATACATGTATATATAATGTGAATTAATAAATTTGCCTAACCATGAGTAGCACACTAAAATATGAATTTAATTAATAAATGAAAATAATTCTTGCATGAATGAAGATATACATGTTATTTAAAACGTGTCACAAGAATTTTGATTTTATTCCTTTTTTTTTCTTTTGATATAGTTTCAAGTGCATTGTTTCATTGCGTGGACAATATTATGAGATTATGAGATTTTTTACATGTGCGTAAGACCCCCCCCCCCCTTTCTTAAAAACGTATGATCTTGGTTTGGGAGAAATAAACATGCTCTCTGTGTTTGCACGTTAATTTCATGTATCCATGGATTAACGTGTGCACTGTCATAATATTTGCAACCATTTTACCATAAAATAATTCTGTGAGATTTTATTTGAGACTACTATGTACCAATCTCAAGATTTTCTGAGAAATCTCAGATTTTTTTCTCAGCTGAGTCAGAAAAAATGTTGGTAGCACGCACGTTTCAGAGAAATCTCAGATTTGAGAAAAATCTCAGATTTAAGAAAAAACTCAAAAGATAAGTCTGAGTTTGAGAAAATATTTCATTGGTGGCACAGTTTGGTGAGAAAAACTCAAATTTTCTGAGAAATCTCAGATTTGAG